ATGTGTGTGTGTGTATGTGTGTGTGTGTGTGAGTGCGTGTTGGGAAAAGGGGTGGATGGATGGACGGAAGGATGGATGGATATACGTATGTACGTACGTATATACCGAAGGACGGACTAACGAACATACACACGGACGAACAGATGGATAGATGGATGGATGGATGGATGGATGGATGGATGGATGGATGGATGGATGGATAGATGGATGGATGGATGGATGGATGGATGGATGGATGGTGGTGGTGATTTCCCATTTTCTTTCTCTACTTTCCCAGGTGGTGAGGTGGGGAAAAGGTCACATCCAGCCACTTCTCAGCTTGCAAGAGAGAGTGCTCCGGGTGTTAGCTACCAAGGTAATCACTGACTACCTGTACTGTACCTAGAATGTAATCACTGACTACCTGAAGTGTACCAAGAATGTGGGTGGCATTGGTAAGCCAGGAGAAAAGAGCGATCGAATTGGGGATGTCGTCACTAGATGTTGAAAATGAGAAAAATTATTATTATAACGACATTGTTCAAAATATGACTATTTTTAGTTACTGTACCATAAATTAGATATAGAATCTAATGGAGTCCGCATAAACCCACCATTGTTCAATCGGAAACAGTTGTAAACCAAAGCAAATAAAGTCCCCGTTTTTTCCTTTTACATGTATTATTATATGTATTTGGATGTCTCAACGAAACAACCCCCACCACCTCTCACCCCACCTCTCTTTTCATGTTATGCATGTATCTACTGTTCCTCCACTTCCGCTCCCTACCCCTCTCGGCCTCTCTCTCGCTGCCTCCTCCCTGCTCCTCCTCCCACCCCCCGCATCCCTTCTTTCCCCTCCTCCCTGCCTTTCCTCTCCCTCCTCTCCCTGTTCCTCCCTGCCCCCCCCTCCCCACCTGTCCGTCTACTGTACAGGGTGTGAGCGACGTGTTGATTGGAGCTCCTTACGTCATCACTCAGGATATCATAGACCGCTGTAAGGTCAGTAACCTATACACATGTCTGTTAGGGGAACGTATGACATCTTTTATGAAGATTATAATGGAGTTAGAGATAATGAAAAGATACAATGATTATTGTCCACTGATGATTAAAAGATCTGTTGTTAATTTATGATGAAAAGATTCATTGTCCATAGATGGTGAAAATATCTACTGTTTTTCTTAATCCCCACATTTAAAAAGTAAAAAAAGGAAATGTTAACTTGAATGTTTACTATGCTTTATCCAGGCAAGCAGGGGTCAGAAAGCTGATTTTTACTATAGAGACGTATTGATTGTTAACAGATAATTCAAACCGTGAACAGATACATCCAAAACATTGTTAACCGGTAGATGTAAAAGATATTAACAGATAGATCTCCACACTGTTAACCGTTTGTCGTGTGTCATTAGTTAGATTGTTGCAACCGATGATAACAGGCATATCCTAGAGAGTCACTGTTAGCAGATTGCCCTAACCGTTTGTCGTGGATTGAATCTGTCTCAGATAAAGCTGGTGTGTCACGGAGGGACGCCGGTGAAAGCAACGGACGATGGACGGGATCCCTATGAGGTACGTCATATGACTGATGACTGATGACTGGTGACTGACTGGTGACTTGGTGATTTTTTTACTGTAGACTGATGACTGATGACTCATGACAGATGGCTTCTTCTTCTTCTAGTTCATCTTTAAAAGGACATCCCAGTCTCTTACCTGTGCGAAAGCTGTTGTTCGCCACAAATCCTAAATCACCCCCC